GTCTTCGTTGTTGAAACTTGAGAGGAGCTCAAGTACGACCTGTGGTCTCGTGTGTGAAGCTTGCTATGGTGGCTTGAATTTCAACCAAAGAAGATAGAGTTATCGTGTAGAAAACAGGATTGTTTTTTGCAACTTTAGTTATCTTGCTTGTATTTGAACTCATAAGTTTACATAGTGGATTTGCTTCTTCTGGACTTGGTCTCATGGATGTAAGCAAGTTGCCGAACCATGTAAAATGAGTGTGTTCTTTTCTTGCTTTGATGGATGTTTCTTTATGCCTTGAACAACTCTTGTGCACAAAATGACAAGCAGGCCGGCTTAAGGGGTAGGCAGGTGAGGCACCTACCTAGGGCCCCAAAAATGGGGCCAAATTTTTATATTCTTTTTTTTTTTTTTTTTTTTGTTTTTTTGTTTTTTTTTTGAATATCTTTCAAAATGAAAATGGTTCATAATTTCTTATCAAGCCAAAGTTCGATAAAATGGCAAGTTTGTACCTCTAGTGTCATATATTCTAGTTTATACCTCAAATTAACACTTGAATCTCTTTTAACAATGAAAGGCTAAAATAGTCATTTACTATCTCAAATTACTCATCCCCAATTCAATCCCAAAATTTGACTCACATAAATCATCTCTAGCCCTCTTCTGCGCCAATGGTTTGGAGTTGATTCGGTCGATTTTCTCACCAAAATCGATCGAAATCATCATTTTATCATTTCCCAACCTTGATAGCCCTCGATTTGGCTAATTTTCAATGAATCTCGCAACCCAACTTCATCACACGACAGCCATTTCCAGCCTTTTCGACATGTCCTGACATTATTGGCCTTTCCCGACACCAGCATCTTCCTCCCCTCAGCCCTCTCACCAAAACCCCTATCATACCTCTCCGTTTACTCTGCCAATCGCCGGCCACCGATACCTTTTGGGCCGTGACTTCTCAAGCTTTTCTTATCAATCTTGGCATTGAATCACTCATTTCACCACCCTCATCACTTCTCCAACATCTACTCTCCAAAACCCCCCCCAACCTAACCTTGTTAGCCTGTCGATTGCTGTCCACCTCTCCTAGTGATTTTTCATCTCAAAAGGCCAAAAAAAAAAATATTATTTAAAAAATATTTTAAATATATGCTTTTTATTAGAGGGCCCCAAAGTAACTCCTGCATAGGGTCACAAATGTTGTAGAGATGACCCTGTAACAAGCAACATTCCGCATAAGTTTTAATCACTTGGTAAAATTAAAACTTTTAAATAGGAAATACATTCCTAAAGATAACAATATCTTTGTAGAAGAGGAAAACAAGCCAAATTCCTCAACAGTCTTCCCCTCCTTAGGATATCACTAAATAACGATTTCTCCCTGCACGTATTTGAAATAACAATGTATACAAATCCTATCATTGTTAGAGCTAAAATTGAAAACCTTAAAACCACATTTGGGGTAAATATTTATTTCAAATACTTTTAACTCAATTGTATTTCAGAAAATTTTCGCAAAATATAAACATGCGATTCATGATAAAAGTTGCAAGTCAATTTAAAGTTGATCAATCTGAATTGAATTAGGATATCTATAAGCTTACATACATTTTATAAAGTGCAATCGTCGGTGCCAGAAAATGACTAATACCTAAAGGCTTTAATGTATTGCATTGGACATTTTCAAATTGCTTATTGAGGACCACTTTTGGACCCCCTTCTCATCTTTAATTTTCTGGTTCAAACAATGAACTAATCTTGAAAACTAATGACCCTGTGGCTGCCTTACTTTTTTAGCAAGTAATTAATGTTTAAACTAATCTTGAAAACTAATGACCCTGTGGCTGCCTTACTTTTTGAGCAAGTAATTAATGAAAGGAAAACAAAGGAATTAATTGAAAGTTTTACGTTTAGTCAAGTAAAATTCCATCTTCCCCAATTGACGAAAATAAAATTTCAATGTTCTTCAACTACACTGGGGCTGTAACGCATTGTGACTTCTGGGAAGAAGCATAAAATATATTTTTGTGTGAAATTTTCAAAAGAAATTGATCAACAAGGCTAGATGCATTGGACAATTAGACTATATATATAAAGCTAGCGAGAGAGATGCATTAATTAGGTGAGTAACTTTCAAGTCAGAAACTCAAAGATTTTTTTTAGGCCAATTGACGATATTATTCATAAAGGAATTTGACAGATTTTAGTTGCAAATTCAAACCTTTAGTCTTCTAAAAGTTCATGAATATTCTTTGAGAAAGCTTCGATCTCATTGGTTTTAAAGTAAAATTAAAGAGAGATTGATTTGATAGATATACTGTATATGGTGGAGGCGAGAACCATATACTTTTTACTTTTCATGTTAGTGTATTGATATATTTGTTTGATTAATTAGACATATAATTTAGCAATTAATCACATGTAAAAAAGAATCAATTTATGCCTCCTCGTTTGGCTTCAATGTTTTCATGCATGGCCTATGGTACCGTTGAGGCTTTAACTTATTGTTTTCCAAAGCTACCAATGAAATTCCTGAATAATAATAATGTAGGATGAGTTGGATAATATAATTGAAAGCTTTATCACTATATAATATTTATTGATTTTTATTGTTAATTTATTGAGTTTGATATTGAATCCATTAGCTTAAACAGGTCGTGACAATTCCATATTGAATAGAAAATAAAATTAAAAAAATATATATACTTAAACTAAAAGAATTACACTAGACAACACTAAAACTCGCTCCTCTTTTCCGGTCAAATGCTACACCCTATGTGGATATTACTCGTACGATCGTGTCAACTTTCATCAATCATTTTAGTGTCAACATTGTCAATGAACATATTTCGATAACAACTAATAAACTACATCGACCATCCATGTAGTTATAGTAATTTTTTATTTTTTTAATAATTTAATGATAAATTTAACTTTAATATATATATTAAGAGTTGCTACTATTTTATTCAATTTGAAATTTAATTTAATTTTTTTATTTTTTTATTTTTTTGTATTGTGCATACCTAATTGTTTAGGCTAAAGATAAATAAATCTTACAGGTTTTAAAAACTAATAAGGGTACCTCCGAAACCAATTCGGGTTGTTGATGCTAATTTTTAAAACCTGTAGGGGCTGACTGTAATCGACTTTGGATGATTCGAAGTAACTTCCTCCGCGAATAAATATGAAAAGTACAACTGATGTGGCAGTCAAAATGTGGCAACCTTGAAGAGGAAGTGCTTTTGATTGGTGGGATTTATCCACGTCATTAATAATTATAATGTAATAATAGTACAGATTCTGTCAACTTCTGAAGTTGCGTCAAATAAACACAACACAGTGACACAGCACGCCACTACATTTCTTGTAATTGGGGCTTATTTGTAATTTTAAAGAGTTAAGGACCTGAGAAAATTGTCAGCGTGATTTAACTCAAAACAGGAATGTGTTTTTTTTTTTTTAAAAAAATCCCAATCCCTCTCATTTGTCATTACTTTCCTCAGCAAGAAATTCCATTAATGGAATGTTTGTCTTAAATTTGCTTTTGTCAAGCGGTTGTGTTTCACACATAAAATCAAAAACAAACTTTTACATTTTGTGTGTGTGTGTGTGTGTGTGTGTGTGTGTGTGTGTAAAGCACTTGGAAATATGTTACAAAATCATTTTCTATAAAAAAAAAACCCTACTTTCAAGAAAATATTTATTAGGTATTTTGGTGTTTCCTTGACCTTTAAAAAATATTTAAAAAAAAAAACATTATTTCTTACTTAAATATAGTATCTTAGATAAGCACTAAAATACACTTTTAGATATATAAAAAATCTTTGCTATTAGATAATACTTAATATCTTAAACTTTTTTTTTTTTTTTGGTCACGTTCTTAAGTGAGAAACACATGAAATGAAAAGATAATCGTACATTAGCGTTTTCACAGTAGGTGACAAGTCAATTGAAAATAGGTCCCTTTGAGACAAACAGAGTGGGTCTACTATTTAATTACTTATCATAACAACATTAATTTGATTTAATCTACTCTTAATATGAACAGAAAATGCATTGATTTTCTTTCTTCTTCTTTTTTTTTTTCTTCAGAATAATAGTGATTTTGACAACGTTATTATTATTATTTTTTAAATAATATAAGTACAGAATCTTAAACTTTTAGTGATTTAGAAATAAAATTAAATAATTCCCTATACTATCAAAGTGTCAAATGTTCTGCAATAATATTCAGGAGGGAAAGACTTAACCCAACCCTGAGTTTTTGATTCACTATGTCAAGGTCTTAGACTTTCAAATACTAAGAAAAACCCCCCTCAAACAACCAACCATTAATTAAACCATAATATTTTTACCCAAGGAGGAGTAAATAAAGAGTGAAATATCCATTCTACGCTTATATGGGTTGACATCTATTAGAGCATGAGGCCTATCTTAATAGTTTATTAAACAGCAGAATGTGGATAGCATACCCAAATCCCAGGGGCCAAATTATCTCCAATATTATGTTGTGAATCTGAGGTTTAACTTTAAAGTGAAGTCAACCTCCAGGAAGCAACAGAAAAGGCTTATGACTAGTCATTTTTTAATTAATTTTTCCTCCGCAACATTAAAACCTCTATTTATTAGTGTGACCTTAAACCCCAACCGACCACTTTTCTCAGTATAAAAACCTTTTTAATTAACTTGTAATTTAATTAATTAATTAATCAAACTTAAACTTTAATATCTCAGTCAAATACTCGCCAAACATGCATTCCTTATTATTTTATTTATTTATTTTTCTTTTCTTTTCATTTCATTTCACAAATAACATCAACTCTTTTTCCTTCCACAATATAATTAACCGACCACTTTGTTTGTACATTTAAATCTTCCAATTTTTTTCTTTTATTTTAAATTCAGAGTCAAATACTCGCCAAACATGCATGGAGAAACTCAAATTCTTCCTCTTTCATTCATTATATAAGCCTCTTCTTTGTCTCAGTTTCTCTTCATCATAGCTCAAACTGAACTCCTCTCTCTCTCTCTCTCTCTCTCTCTCTCTTCTTTTCCGTGCTCCCCAAATGGCTTCCAAAATTTTGATGCCAAACCCAGTTATGAACAGTCAAGTTACGGCATTATCTTCAGTTGAGCTTTTTCCCAAGACTTCTCACTCTTTTGGGCAAGTTTGTTTTCCTAAAAAGCGTGAGTTAAACTCTCAATTACAATCTCGGAGATCAGTAATTGCTTCCGGTATTGCATCGCCGGCTGCAAATAAGGCGATTAAAGCGGCGAAAACCAGTTCAATTTTGGCTCATTTTTGGAGGGAGATTCAAGGTTTTAACAACTGGGAAAATCTCGTTGAGCCCTTGCACCCTCTTCTTCGTCAAGAAATTATACGCTATGGCGAGTTTGTTACCGCCTGTTACAAGGCTTTTGACCTCGACGCCAACTCGAAACGATACTTGAACTGCAAGTATGGGAAAAAGAACATGTTCAGAGAAATTGGAATGGAGAATTCAGGCTATGAAGTCACTAAGTACATTTATGCAACTCCAGATATCAACATCCCCATCCAAAATGGCGCTTCCTGCGGACGTTGGGTCGGATACGTTGCCGTTTCTTCTGATGATTCTGTTAAAAGGCTTGGTAGAAGAGATATTGTCATTACATTTCGAGGCACAGTGACAAACCCTGAATGGGTCGCTAATTTCATGAGCTCATTGACGCCGGCGAGGCTCGACCCTCACAATCCGAGACCGGACATGAAGGTCGAGTCCGGTTTTTTGAGCTTGTACACTTCAGATGAAAACGATAAGTTCGGTTTAGGAAGTTGTCGTGAGCAACTTTTATCTGAAGTATCGCGCCTTTTGAACAAATACAAAGGCGAGGAATTGAGCATAACGTTGGCCGGTCACAGTATGGGGAGTTCATTAGCCCTACTTCTCGCGTATGATATAGCAGAATTGGGTTTAAATTCAAACAGTGATAATCATTCAGAGATTCCAATAACGGTTTTCTCATACGGAGGGCCGAGGGTGGGAAACGCAGAATTCAAACAACGGTGCGAGGAGTTGGGAGTGAAAGTGTTGCGAATTGTGAATAGTAATGATCCAATTACAAAGCTTCCCGGGGTTGTTTTCAATGAAAATTTTAGGGTTTTGGGAGGGACGAGATATGAATTTCCATGGAGCTGTTCGTGCTATGCACACGTGGGTGTCGAACTCGTTCTTGACTTCTTCAACATGCAAAATCCTTCATGTGTACACGATTTGGAGACATATATCAGCTTACTTAAATGCCCAAATCCAGTGGAAATTCAAAGGGAAGGTGTGGATTTTTTTAATAAAGCGAGAGAGTTGCTCTTGACTGCGCAAAATTTTAACATGTTTCCATGGAAAATTGCCGCGGATAACATGGTGAGTTTATTAGTTCCATCACAAAGGACATAAAAGTTTCTGAAAATTAAGTACAAATTTGTAATTAGGTAGATGAAGATGAAGATGATCATGAGCTTCTTGGCCTTGTAATTTTTTTCTGAAGTTAGAGAAGCTTATTGTGAAATTAATTGTACATTAGGAGGGATGGATATCGATTTTTGTGAGCCTGTGAAATGAATTCACAAGCTTGTTATAGCTATTGAAGCTTTAAAATGATTTTGTTGTAACTAATATTGAACATATATAGGAAAATTTTCTTCTCCTATACTTTTTCTCCCTTTTCATGCATAGAATTATGGTATTTTTCTTCAAATTTTATGTGTTTCCTTTTAGGGAATGAGTAGGTATATGACTTTTGGAAAACTTATGAAATAAATATTGTTATTACAAAAATTCGCAACAATTAGAGATACTCAATTAACCTTGACGGAAGTGAGTAAGATATGAACGTGATTATAAATAACCAACAAGAAATCGAAATGAAAATAGAAAACAAAGATAGAGAATAGTTTTTAAAGTTGTTTGGCGTGTTAAGTCAAATCTGCGTCCACTGTTTTTTTATTACTTTCTGCCTTACAAAGTAAATAAGCTCTCTCTCTCTCTCTCTCTCTCTCTCTCTAATTTTTTTAACCCCTTTACAATGATTTTGAGGGAGTTTATATAGTGTGTAAATGGTAACAATTACAAGAGGGGTTCTCGAGATAAAGACTTAATTTTGGGAAGTTAATCTCATAATCTTTGATGTGGTTATCATGCTGATATTATAGGGAATCAATCCCGTGATCTTCTCCTTGATTTTAGGAGATAATGTCTGTCTAAGGAGATAAAACTCATTCACGGTTTGGAGGATAACTGTTAAATAGCTCATTTTACTTCTGAACCCATCTCGTTTATATCTGATCATCGTCTCATAAACTGCTTTGAGCTATTTACACATTCTTGCACAACAAATATGAAGGAGAATTTATGCATAATGTCATGATAACTGAACAAATTGTTGAGCTTTCTGATAATGTAGATGACGAATCGATATGGATACTAGTATATATGGTTGATACCTTAGAGGTAACCAATTTTATGTCAACTCTTCGATTAATGTACTTGACTTAAATTAATTGGGAGAAAAATAAATATAAATGACAATTGTAAAAATTAATTAGCAATATGAACGCAAGAGTTCGAACACAAGGGACGGATATCAATTATGGAAAGAGAATTTAAACCTCTCCAAGCCATTTTCAACTTAAAGAGTACTAGTTAATTTTGAAGTTGTACAATTATAATTAGCAATAAAAAGTCTTCATTAAATATCATGTTCATAACTTCGTTGACAGAAATTTTGTACAGCTTGCACATATTCCATTTAAATTATTTTTGTTTTAACTTTTTGGGGGCCCTTCTCGTTCCCTTTTTGAAATATAATTTCTACCAAGACTCTTGGCTGACTTGAGAAACAAAATATTGGAATAACTTGGACAAAATCAAATTTTTTTCCTGTAAATGAATCAGCTAAGATCCTCTCTTGATGTGAGTTGACGTGAGATTTTGCGCATTTTTATTTATTTACGGTTCAGATATATTTCTCTAATATATTCTTATTCTATAATAATAACCATAAGTCTTTGAAAGTTCAGATTTGAGCACAAATCAAGAGAAAATCTTGGTCTGAATGGGTCTTACAAATGATCAATGCAAGATATCCACCCTAAAATATTAATCTGTTAAGTGGAAAAAAAATGAAATCTTGATTTGATTTACATTGAGATATTATAGTTTGGAAGAATTTAAGTATGACACATCCTCTTTATAATTAAACTCATAAAGCTAAAACTTTATCCTCTAATTAATAAATTAATATTTGGACTCAAAACAGAAGGGGTCCCTCCTATATATATTACATGTTAAATCAAAAGAGAATCTTAATAGATTAAACTTTAATTATCCAACAATTAGGTACTACCCTTAATAACTCCTCGAAGAGACTAAGAGTCTAAGACCATTATATATGAGATCATCCCATGCGTAATTTCCATAAAACTACCTACCAATTACTGTACTTCCTTCCTTTAATTGCATACATTTAAGTAATTCTAGAGCCAAGAAAAATATAACAAAAAAAATTAATTAAAGACACATAAAGGAGTAGTACCTTCATGTATATATACATGATTCTAAGCTTCATATTCATCATCTAGGAACTGGAATTGTACCTTCAGGTAATTTTATTTGAGATATAGAAATAAAAGGAGAAAAAATAATAATTAATTATAAAGGCAATGTAATCTAATCGAATCTAGTGGGTCCAAAATGGAAATTTAAAATTCATTGATCAAATACAAAATTTCTAATCACACATGTGATCTTCATTTATATTGGCCCCATTTGGTTCATTATTTGATGATTTTTAAAGTAGTATTTAAAAAAAAAAATTGGATTATCTTTACAAGAAAAATAATTATTAATGTTTTGTAAGATGAATAAAATAAAATATGATTTAAAAATATTGAAACAAATGTATTTTTGGTTTTTTAGGATATAATAATAGAATAAAAAAGAGATATAATAATGTCACCATAGTCATTCAGCTCACCAAACTGCTGAATGATAAAGAGGTAAACCAAAACCCATAATAATTTCAAGATTAATGACTTTGAATTTCTTTGGGGCGCCGGTTATATATATATACTTCCTTTTCGTGCTTCTAGATGTTAATTATGTCGATCAAAGTACTGTTGTAATTTCATCCCTTAATCATCTTAATTAACAATATGATCAGTCTTCTACAATGATTTGGAGTTTGATTAGAATTACTAGAGTAATTAATCTTATCCTTCCATGATAGAGACATTGTCAATATATAGTAATGCATGCCTAACACACTTAAAATGTATGTGAATGCTTCTTTTTATTTACCGTCATATGCAATGGTAACAGAGGACTTGGACACAAAATTATAGGACTTAATTTAATTAATCAAATCAAAAAGCTGCACCAAAGTGAGAGATATTCAATTAACCACACATTTTAATGGTTGAAAATTTTTTAATTTCAAAGAAAAATTAACCAGATAATTGAGATAGTACACTAATTAATTAGATATCTTGTCAAATCTCAATCACAGTCAAGGATTTGTGGATGCCAAAGAAAGAAGAAAAAATGAGATGCTGCGAATCTAGGAAATCACGATGAATACTAAGCATAAAGAGGGGAAAGAGGGGACTTTTTGTTTTTGTTTCAATTTATACATCCAATTAAAGAAATAAAAAGTTTAAAATACCCGTATACGTGTTAGTTATAATTTCACAATCAGAAACTTTAATAATTTTCCCATGTCGAATGCTATAATTTTCCCTGCAAACAAACAAATAGGAAACCGTGTTGAGGAGACAAACAAATTAAACATGCTTTAATTGGGTTGGGGGGTAAAATGCAAATTTTGAAGAGTCAAATTAAGGATACACAGTGTGGTTGACTAGGATTAATTTCCTCATATCCTTCATATGTTTTATGAAGCGCGTGGCCGTGGGTTATAATAAGGTGAGAGTACTTTATAACTACCGAAGAATGAGAAAAAAATATTACTTTATAACTTTATAAGTACCGAGGAATGAGTAAGGAGAATTAAATAGTAATCCCACTAAATTAAGTTGAAAGAAAAGGCCAAATCTATTATGGGCATGTGGCAAGAAGCATGATTACTGATTGGAACTCAACTTAAGGGGATCAATATTTTAATTGTCACGTGCTGATTAACAGTTTAACACTACTGCTAAAGATTCGGATTCCAGTAAATTCCTTAAATACTACATAATTAGAAAAATAGTTTTGATTATAGATCACGTATTAAACATGTTAGGTAGCTTTTTATATTTTATCTTAATTGTATAAAATTAATTTTAAATTGTCAATCAAATAAACCTTAAATTTAAGACTCAATTTTTGTAATAAAACTAATTTTTTATTATTATTATTATTATTATTTATTTTTTTTTTTTTGTGTGTTATATCCTTTGAAAACAACTCCCGTTTAGCATATGTTTATCGGGAAATTGCCTAACCACAACTTCGCCCATGTTTATCACAGTCTAAGCTACAATCCACATCATGGAAAAATATCAATTTATCATCCATCTTAATCATACATTCACCATTATATACAAAACAGCCTAATCACCGGCCCATCGCCATTAGGCATTGTTTTCATCACAGTTGACGAAAACTCTTAACAAACAATCAAAATGTCTATTCTATCACATATTCCTAAAAAGGTCTATTGTATCACAGATTCCTAAAAAGTTTTAGAATAATTTTTATATATATCTCTTTGGGGTTTTGAATATGTTTTATTATCCAAAATATAGGATTATCAATTAAATAGATAACATTGAAAATGAATGGATATAAATTATTATTTTGTTTGGTTTGTGGGGATTGTCTAAATAATTAATGTATTTGGTTAATAGTAATTACAAAATACTTAGATGTTATTTTATTAAAATCTCTCTCTCTCTCTCTCTCTCTCTCTCTCTCTCTCTCTCTCTCTATATATATATATATATATATATTATCGTTATTATTATTATTATATATGTGACATTTTTGTCTAAATAATTAATTAATGAGGTTAAAGAAGTCATTCAACAAATTGGGTTAATTGTTATCTGACATCAAAAAGATAACATTTTGTCCGCAATTTTTATCAATTGGAACAAAAATAAGATTACCACAATAATCTTAAAATACCACATTTTGAGTCGGAAATTACATAACTTTCTATGTCACTTTTCATATTACTTAAGTAATAAAAGATTATTAACTGAACAAAATAAGATAATGACCAGATTAAAAGATAGATCATCGGAGTAATCTTCTTAAGGCCCTTACCATAGGTAGCCATCATGGTTTTATCACGATAAAATCCTATTTAATTTAACATTTGATTAGATAATATTACCTTAATATAGAATAGCTAAATAAGACATATAACTTGTCAAATCATCAGCCACATTGGTCAATGTTAACATTATGTAAATCCTTACTTGGTAGGGCATATGATTCATTAGTTATGAATTTTTCCTCACATGTTTTCCTATAATTTTTGCCTCCTATTTATGCATGTAGATTTCACGCATTCTAGAAGCTGTATTGCTTTTTTTTACGTAATTTGCATTAGTTCTATTCATTTTTTTAACAAAATCTCTCAAATCCATCAAAATTTATAAGAAAACAGACCAAAAAAATA